TTACTGGCAAGGTCAGAGGCCAGTACCAAAGAGGCTAGCCTCAAATTCCTCTCCCGTTCTAATTCCTCTCTAACACCTTCAGTTTCCCTTCTGGCTAAGGCCTCCACCTGGGACAGATTTCTTATTATCAATAGTAGTGGCCAAGCAACCTCTGCTGCTGCTTTTTGGCATTTCTGTCCCTAGTGTGCTACTCCCAGAGATTGTAGAATCTGTTCCAGACCTTCTGCTGTTTTCAGGGCCTCTCCATACTCACATGGTGGCCCCCATTGGTCAAGCAGGCATGCCACCCCATACCATCTACAAGATGGAGGCCACCCTGGGATTTCTCCCATTGACCTCATCTGCTTAGGTGGCCTCACCCTAGTTACACATCTCACTGTCCACTGCATTAACCATGCCACTGCAGACACCCCCACCAAGCCTATGGGAATGGCCCACCAGGTTAACATTTCCTCAGCCCACACTCTCCCCTCACCCCACTTTACTTCAGTTGTTGGTCTCTCTCCCCATTTCAGGGACATCATCAATGCTCTTCCAAAACTCATTCTCAGCTTTGTCATATCCTGCTGACTACACCAATTGTAAGTCAAATTCACTGCTGGGAGGTGCACATGGCATCCAATTCCCTCCTCTCAAGGTCCTTGCGACAGCCTGAGGAAAAAAATTCTCCAAACCCCAGTTTGAAGAATCTTAGCAAGTTTATTGGACTTGCTAACTGAGCTTGGGTTTACTTACAGAGAAGCAGGCACCCACCCCCCATTCACAGCTGATGCCGAAAGTCCACACCCAGACATAAATCCTGGGGTTCCGGACAGCCTTACAAAATGGCAAGGGGCCAGCCTCATGGTTTTCCCAGCTTTTATACCCTTAGCCCCTCCCCTGCGAGAGGCTACAGTCAACCGATTGGCTGGAAGAGGGAAGGGGAGTGGCTTCTTTGCAGAGCATGGGAAGGAGGTGGGTCCATGGATTGTCATCACAGGGTCAGAGGAACATCTTCTGGGTCACACCATGGCAGGATAATCAATTATCTGACCTCTCAAAAGGCAGGACAGGCCATTTGGCCTGAAAGATTCCAAGTACTGCTACTGCACCCTCCCTAGTGTGTGATCAGCAGTTCTCCTCGGCTTTGGAGAGCTGAGCAGGTTCTAAACCAACCCACAGGCTTCCCACATTGAGAAGATACTTTACCCCTAATTGGAGTTGGGAAAGTGAGAGTGAAGTATTTGAGAAAATTGCTGTGATTGCCCCAGCTGATAGACACCATCAAGTCACCCTCAGGCACAAAATGTGCTTCATGGATTCAGTTAAAAGAGGAATCTGTGCTCAGTGCTTTCTTTCTTCCATTTCTGGGAAACGGGCACACCCAGAAAACTTCAGCAGGAAGAAATTACAGTCTGAAAATTATAGCTCCTTCTCCCCTCAAGAGCCTCCCTCCTGCCCTTCCCCGACCCCCCAC